GAGCTTGATGTGGATGAAGAGTGTGTGTATGGGCTAGCCTCCAAAGGGAGCTTGGCAAGTAAATAAACTGTACGATCTGAAGCGAAGCCCTGTAAGAGACCGGGAGGGTGCGAGAATATCTGAGAGGACCTGGAGAAGGGGCGGGGGAGGCCGAGCAATCTAAGGGTGGAGGGAGGGGTTGTCAAGAGCTCGATAGGAGACTCTCAGGGAGGAAGGTCATCGATGGCCGATCAGAACTGGCTTGGTTAGTTAGAAGTCACAAGTCGTTTCGCGGTGAGCCCGGCCATGGGCCAGCATAACTGTTACTGTAACCACCAACCACACTGACCGCACTGACAAGATACCATCATGTTAGCTGTATGTCGGCCGCCCTGTAGCACAGCCAGCCATGTCGGTGGCGCCAGCGTTGCCAGACCCCCGAGGTTGAGATGGGTCCAAGCTTCCCTAGCATTTCTCGATCCGATCAACATACAAATGATTGTGGGATAGAACTATCAGAGATCTGTGAAGGCGGGCTGAAGCCTCCACAAGAAGGAGTCTTATTGAGCAGGAGGGGGCAGCAAGAGAAGCTATGGTCTGGTCTTACAGCCACGAGGGCAGCAAGAGAAGGAGTCACAGGAGGAGAAGGAAGGAGGCGAGGGAAGGAGAAGGGAGAACTTGAAAGGGAAGCCTGCAACCGAGGGAGAAAAAGGGAGATAGCGGGGGCAGGAGGGGAATACTGAGTGGGGAAGTAATGTACTGGGGAGCGACTGTTTCTGCTTCATCAGGCAACATTTCGTTCCTTTGGGATCGTGGGATGCTTCAGTCACGATACTGTCAAACATGTTTCTTCCACAGATATACTTGCTGGTCACCATAGCTACAGTGGCCGACGGGTATCATAACGAGATACTCTACAAGATCTTCAAAGGCCCTCGGCCCTGATGCAGCTCCCGGCGCCCGGGCCTTCGCTCGCTCGCTCGTTCATCAATGGACTAGCTCGGCCTCGTCGAATTCCTTGGTTACAAACTCCGACCTGAGAGAGTAAAAGCCCGTCAGCAAGGCCTGATACTGAGCAAGTTCACTCACTGTAGAATGTCTTGCATGGTCCCTTCATCCTCTCCGCCTTCATCCTCGCAAGGAACGTAATCGAGACGGTACCTGAGCACGATCAACGCAGAGGAGAGAGTGAAGTCTGTAGTACCTCGGGTTGTCCGCTGGGTTGGAGTAGAAATGCTCCAGGAAGTTGAACTGGACCTCCTCCAGAGTGACGTCATCTATCATCTTGCAAATGAGCAGAGCCAGCTCGAACTTGCTCAGCCGATTCTCATTCACGTCTCGGAGGGACTCGGAGAGATCGCTATTCCTCTGCTTCTCGCAGACCATCTGGTAGAAAAGGATCGCAAGAGACGTGATAGCCGAGATCAAGAGATTGCGCGAATTCTCAGGGCCGATGCTCAGTAGTATCATGTTGAAGAGTATGTTGGATACTGTCGTGAGCTTGTTGTCCGAATCTCGGATCGACGGTTTGATCTGCCTCCGGAAATTGTTCGAGATTACCAACTCTTTGATTCTGTACAGGGAAGACAAGTTGAGAGCCATGAGTGAGAAAATCTGAATCTGCTGCGCGAAAGATCGGTGGAGAAAAACTTTGAGCGGATCTCGCTGCAGCTGCCGCCCCAGTGCTTTGAGCACCACAAGGTTGTGGGCTCGCCTCTGTGAGTCTCCGCCGAGGTAGTGCTCGAAGATCCAGCAGAGCGGCCAGACGAGGAGGAAGGAGAGGACCACAAGAACCAGGCTGAGCGCAATCAAGACGAGGAAAGCTAGCAGCCAGAAGGCATAATAGGTCAACGGGTAGAACTCCTTCACTAGGAGAATGGCGCAGATCCTTAGCGAGGCCGTCTGCGCTTCGTCGTCACTGATGCCTGGTATGGGGGGAGATGTAAACTGCCACCAGTCGGCTCGACTTCGGAGGATCAGGAAGCATCCCCGGACTTGGAAGAAGAGAGTGTACAGGAGGAAGATAATCGAGACGCTGTTGTTGAAATATTCGCTCTCGCTCCGCCATGGAGGGATCTTCCTGCTGAGGAGGTTGAGGGTTCCGGCTCTGATAGTCCTGTATGAATGCTTCAAGCCCTCGTGGTTGCTGTAGGTCGAATCCGACGGGGTCGCCCCCTTCTCACTCACGGTCCCTCGGTACCGATGTAGCAGGTACCGGGCAAACCCTTTGTCCGTCTTGGCGTTTCCTTCCTCCAAACTCTCGAGGGGCTCGAACTGAAGCTGCCTGTTATCCTTCTGGTACTTCACACGAATGGGGAATACAGTTCCCTCCTCCAGCTGATTGATGCTCGCTAGCGCCTTGGTGAAGTGTTCGTAGGCTTGCTGGCCATGCGCGGAGCGCTCCGGTTCAACTTTGAGCTTCTTCTCCTCCACGCTCTCATAGCCAGCCAGCTCCTTGAACCAGGTGTAGTTTCCTCCCAGATATCGCTCCTCCTCTGGCCTGCAGTAGATGTCCCAAGGATGCCTCTTGTGGACGTCAGGGTCGAATGGTTGGCCTGTCGTGGGATGACTTTCGTAAGGACGTCCTGTGAACGGGTCGATGTTGGGCTCTCCCAGGTCCTGGCTCCCCCAGAAGGCATCGACAAGCTGTCCTCTGCTCTCCTGAAGGAGGAAAACAGGATGAAGCCTCCCCAGGACCCTTCGTAGCGTGTAAGCCCCGCTCATTCCGCCATAGCTCCAAATCCGGCAGGGAGGAGGGGGTTGTGGTAGAAATAGGGAGAAATGTGGGGTAGTGAAGGTAGTGAGAAGAATTGAAGGGTACTCTCTGGGAACAAAGGGGGTAGGGGTGATGGAGGTAATGATTGAGTAAGTGGAGGGGGTAGGGGTGGGAGGGGTGGTAAAAATAGGGGTACAAATGAAGGGAGAAAAGGGGGTCATTGTATTGTAATATATTGACGGGTGGGGAGAGGGATGCGGCTGGTGAATGGAGAACACAGCTCCCTGATTCGTGGAGGGAGAAGGAGAGGGGGGGAGAGCAGAGCAGAGCAGAGCAGAGCAGAGCAGAGCAGAGCAGAGCAGAGCAGAGCAGAGGAGGGGAGGGGAGGGGAGTGAGGAGTGGAGAAGGGAGAGGAGAGCAGAGGGAGAGGAGAAGAAAGAGGAGAGCAGAGCAGAGGAGGGGAGAGTAGAAGACGAGAACAGAGAAGAGGGAGAGAGGCGAGAGGCGAGAGAAGAAAGGAGAGGAAAGGAACCAGAAGCGGAACGTACTTACAGAGTAAAAAAGAACACTTTCAGAGTGTATCGAGCCATAATTTTGATCTCCCATGATGAGACGAAGCCAGTCACTTTGGACTGCGTGGTTTTTGATCGTTCAAACGATGCTGCTGTCAACCGTTAGCCCTCTCTGGACAGACAGCCTCTCACTGAGATCTACCACAAGAGACAGCGGTCATCGTGCCTCTGCATTCCAAAGTTTCCAGGCGCCGATGTTGTATCGTAGACGTTCTAGAGGAAATTACCGAGAGGGGAAAGCTTGGGATCACAGGCTGCAGTCACGTCTGGGACAAAGCTTGTCCCTGAGAGGAGGCAGGGGTGAAGCGGACGATGCTTCTGAGTTGGATTACCTTCCCTACGAAACAAGGGAAGACCAGAATGTCACGATCAAGCAAGTTCTCCTTCTCAGACTCGACGATGAAGCTAGTCAATGGAAGCCCATTGTGTCAGGAGATCTTGTCATTACGAGGAGAAATTCGTCGACTTCGATGCTGACTTTCTACGCTGGAAAAGGGAATTTAACAAACGTTGTTCTTCAACATAGGTTCTGGTCAAACATGGACTTTTTGGGCGATAAGAATGACTTCACATCAATCAGTTATCGCCTACAGCGCCGAAGGGTTGTTTCATGCAAGTTTGAATTTCCGTCGAGCTACATGGTGATTAGCTGGGGATTTCGAAACATGCACGACCTTGAATTGTTCGATCATGAAGTGAACTGCAATCAACTTTTCTTGGACGACAACGTCCAGGAGCAGGAGTCCTCAGCAGATGCAAACGACCTCGACACGTTGCAAACGGATGGACTTTGCCAGGAGGTCGTCAGGGACTTTTACATCTCTCGTGCAAACGCCACTTTTGTTCCGGATAACTCTTCCAGCGGCATGGGCGGTCTGTCGAAGAAGCTTGAAAATCTCACCATAAATGTGGAAAGAATAGACCAAGTAGATCATGAACAAATTGATGATGCTGAATCCAACAGATACTCGACCTTGAAGTTGGATCCAAGTGTGCCAGGTTCAGCGGAGCAGCCTTCGTCCCTGAGCTATAGTCGCCGGATACCTCGAAAAATATTATCGAAGCCGGAAAAATTCTTCTTGACCACAGCTATTGCGTATCTCAACGGCGTTCCGCACATCGGCCATGCATATGAAGCGATCACTGCAGACATCATCGCAAGATACTACAGAAGTTGGAAATGTTTTGCTCGGTCTTGACAAGTGAGGATATATGCAGGCTTGGGATGCAAGGTGTTCTTCCTTACCGGCTCGGACGAGCACGGACAGAAGATCGCAGCCACTGCGAGTACGGTACAGCGACATGTGCGAACGCTATGAATATCAGATATTGACTGCAAATTGAAGAACGGAGAGGCTGAAATTGAGCTCTGCGATCGGCATGTCAAGATCTTTGCGGATCTTTATGACAAGCTAGACATCAGTTTCGACAGGTCGGACGCCTTGCGAAAAAAAGCTGCCTCCTTACCATGCTTCAGGTTTATAAGGACCTCGTCAGATGATCACAAGAAAGTTGCATGTCACATCTTTGAAGAAGTGAGTGATCGCGTGACTTTCTTCTTCGAGACTTTTTGCACTGATCTCTGTCTGACTTGTTGCCTAACATAGCTAACTTTGTTGGCAGGTTCTGCGTGCTGGAGACATCTACCTTGGAAATTATTCAGGATGGTACAACGTGAGGGAGGAGACCTTTGTGCCTGAAGGTAAAGCAAGTGGACGGGACGCTGGAGGAGGAGGAGGAGGGAGGATCATCAGATTTGCTGACAAACATGTCTTGAACAGGAGAAGCGGAAAACATGAATTTCACCGATCCAGTGACCGGGCTTCCTCTCAAGAAATTAGAGGAGCCTTCCTACTTCTTTCGGCTCTCCAGGCAAGTCCACTCGAACCTCCTTCACCTCTCCAGGTCTGATTGTGTTGGACGAGAAGGTTCCAGGATCAGGTCAAGAAGCACATCCTGTCACATCCTGACTTCATCCAACCGACCAACGCCAGGAACGAGATCCTGCAAAGACTGGAGGTGAAGGCTCAAAGCGCCCATGGATTGAGATCTGACCGCTGCCAATCAGCTCCCCTTGCGCGACTTGTCAATCTCCCGAACGTCATTCAGCTGGGGGATCCCGGTCCCCAACGACAGCAAGCACGTCATGTACGTGTGGTTTGACGCGTTGATCAACTACCTCTCCGGTCCTTGCCTCTCTCTTCCTCGCCTGCTCCTGACACCTCTGCTCCCCCTAACCCCTTCACCCCTTCCAAATCTTTCTTGTGACAGGGGTGGACTGGCCCGACGGGGCTCGCAGCAGCAACTGGCCGTGTGATGTCCACCTAATCGGCAAGGACATCATGTGGTTCCATTCGGTGATCTGGCCCAGCATGCTCCTCTCGGCAGGAGTCCAGCTGCCCACCCGCATCTACGGCCATGGGTTCGTCAATGATCGCCTTGGGAGGAAGATGTCGAAGTCGTTGAACAACGTGGAGGATCCCTTTGCACTCCTTGAGAGGTGACAGTCTCATCTTGCGAATAACTTAGCCGAACCATCCTCCTCCTCCTCCGTCTCCTCCTCCTCCTCCAGGAAGTGCAGGTCTGCTGAACATGCAGGTTGTCCTCCAAGTCCAGGATGAGTTCTCCTCCGTCAAGAGGTGACCTGAGGCTGCCTGCCATCAAAGAGTTTGACCCGTTGAAACGCAGGAGGAGCGATCCCCAATCGTTCTCTGTTCATGTCCTTCCCATCAACGATCCCCCGTCCTTTCAGCTCGTCGGGGAGATATCTGTGGTGAATATTCCTGCAGTCTTCTTGTTCGTTCTGCTGATTGCAGTCCCCATTCCAGTACCTTTCCACACAATTCGTCCGGGTGGCAGACTCGTTGGTCGCGGGCCCATGGAACGAGGTTGTTTTGAAGGATTGCATTCAACTTTTGGATCGATTGAAGCTGCTATCTCCAGA